CCCCCAAAGCGGGCGATCGGCTGCTCCCTGAGCATGCGAGCACGGCCGCCTCCCGGCCACGGCTGGCAGGGTTCCCCCGCCAGCGACACCAGCGCTGCCCGCCCTGGCTGCTCCCCTCCGGCCTCCTGGCCGCATCACGGCCCTGGCCACGCTCCAGCTCCAGGCACTTGGGCTCCTGGCAGCTCCTCGCAAAGGGAGCCCCAAGGAGCTTCCAGAGCCCTCCCCAAGTAGCTCCGCCTTCCCAAGGAGGCCGCCATCCCAAGCAGGCCCTCGGCCTCTCCCTCTTGGACACCCCCATGGTTTACGCCACTGGGAGGGAGTCTCATCCCTTGGGAGAGCTCCCTTCCACCCCCCACACCCACTGAACCCCCTCCCTGGGGGCATCCTTGGAAAAGCGGAGCTTTCCCTCCCCACAAATTCCCTCCCTCCCTCCCCACAATTTCCCTGTTACCGTGTATTATCAGGATGACGTGCTGTGACAGCGGGCTCCGGGATTCTTGCGGCTGCGTTGCCGGGGGCCACCTGGAAACAGCGTCAACAGAGAATTATGGAGTCATAATGGTTGGAAAAGACCTTCAAGATCGAGTCCAACTCTAAATCCTTCTACATCATCCTGCTAAACCATGTCCCTAAGTGCCTCATTCACACGTTTATGAAACTCTGCTAGGGATGGTGACTCCACCATTGCCCTGGGCAGCCGGTCCCAATGCATGATCGCCTGTGGGGCAGGGAGGCCACACACTGGCCCCTCTCACGCTCCTGCCCTGGCTGACCTGCCCAGTGCCCCTCGGCCCCTCTCTGACAGCAGCTGGACCCCTCCTTTTGTGCTGAGCAGTGAGAAAGTAAAGGAGATGGAAAAACCCTTCCACAAGCAGCTCTTCTCCTTCCTGCCCATTGGACTTTCTCTCTGGAGCCTCTTGTGTGGAAGCGTTTATGGTTGGATTCGATCTTGAAGATCTTTTCCAACCATTATGACTCCATAGTTCTCTCTTGACGCTTGTTTCCAGGCGGCCCTGGCAACGCAGCCACAAGAATCCCGGAGCCCGATGTCACAGCACTGTCACAGTGACATCACGGCCGGGACAGGATAAAAGGCAGCGCTCGCTGCACTCCCGTGCCTGTCTCGGGCCACGCACAGGGCAGGCCCTGGACAGAGGAGAGGCGGGTGGGATTTGAGGGCCTGGGAGGGGAGGAGCACCTGCTAGCTCTGGAATTTTCTTCCAGGTAACGCAGGGCCGGCCCCAGCCAGGCGGGAGCCCTGGCCAGCTGCTGGGCATGGAACTGCTCCCAGCAGAAGCAAATCCAACGCCATGGATCTCCACGGTAAGTCCTGGGTGCATCCCAATGGCAAGAGCTTTCTGCGGTGGAGCTGCACCACTGACAGCAGTGTCATCATCAGCCTCCTTGGGACAAGGATCCACGCGGGAAGTCAGGTTGCTGCCTGGGAGAAATCCCAGGAGGCTTCCTGTGAAGAGAACGGCCTCGTGGACAACGTCATCCTGCTAACACCTGGTAACGGGGAATTTGTGGGGAGGGAGGGAATTTGTGGGGAGGGAAAGCTCCGCTTTTCCAAGGATGCCGCCAGGGAAGGGGGTTCCGTGGGTGTGGGGGGTGGAAGGGAGCTCTCCCAAGGGATGGAGACTCCCTTCAGTGGCGTAAGCCACAGGGGTGTCCAAGTGGGAGAGGCCCAAGGCCTGCTAGGGATGGCGGCCTCCTTGGGAAGGCGGAGCTACTTGGGGAGGGCTCTGGAAGCTCCTTGGGGCTCCCTTTGAGAGGAGCTGCGAGGAGCCCAAGTGCCTGGAGCTGGAGCGTGGCCAGGGCCGTGATGCGGCCAGGAGGCCGGAGGGGAGCAGCCAGGGCGGGCAGCGCTGGTGTCGCTGGCGGGGGAACCCTGCCAGCCGTGGCCGGGAGGCGGCCGTGCTCGCATGCTCAGGGAGCAGCCGATCGCCAGCTTTGGGGTCAGGAAGGAATTTTCCCCTGGCACACATTGGCCCTGGTGCCCAGGGGTTTTTCGCCTTCCTCTGCAGCATTGAGCACGGCCCGTTCCCAGGCTCCTCGGGGCCCTTTCAGGCCACGCAGCCTGTTCTTGAGCGCTGACACCAGCTCCGTCCTGCAGCTCTGTGTCACCC